AGTTCAATAAGATTTTGAATGCGAGTCAACAAACGAGATGACATGGCCTTTAACTTGTGACCCTCCTCGAAAGGCGAAAAGGTTAAAAGATCTGGGGAAAACTGTGATAAACAATAGTGTAAGGAACATTTAACTTGTTTTATTATACATATTATTTTAGTTTGTTATACTGAAACTTTGTTTATTGAACTTACGCATATCAAGGTATTACTATACTAAATTTATTTGACTACAAAAACACTGTTGAGTAAAAAGAAAAAAAAAAGGGATGGAATCCTTGACTCTTATATATACAAAGCATGTGCTCTGCCATATGAAGAGGGTATGTTTTAAATAGATAAATATTTTACATAATGCTTTTGTTGAATTATGTAGTTGGATATGAATGAAACAAAACCTATTAAACAGAATATGGAGTTGTTATAATTAGACTTAGAGGAAAAAAGTGTAGAAACATGATAAGACTATACTTAAAATATATCTATGTACACAATAGTTTTTATATAAACACTTTATCTTTGTGGATAATCATCATCTTTGACTAAAATCTTGAGATTTTTTCTTCATTGAACTCTTGACAAATTGATGTTACGAAAACATGAATTTTTAACATTCTGGTATCAATAACTGTAAAAACCATCTGTCTTAATTTGTAACTCTTTTTTCTTCCATAATGGTATCAACTCTGTTTTTAATCCTTCCCTAAAGTATCAGGTCTGCTACCACCAATAATGGAAATGGTGTAGCATTTTATTCCCCTAGCAGGTAAACTCAGTCTTCTTGTATTAGGTCGTCAAGAAATTAATGTCGCTTTTATTTAGATGAAAAACCCAAACAACTTATATATCAAAACAAAAACATTATTATTGGAAATAGTCTCCATTCTTATCGATGATGCTATTCCATCTTAGAATCAGGTTGTTAATGCTCTGATTAAAAAAAAATCACTTGGCTTTGAAGCAAAAACATGTTGATGTCCTCTTAACACCTTCCACATTTGCATAAGTTTTCTCATTAAGATGGTGTTGTAGTGAACGAAAAAGATAGCTGTACCATATCTGCAGAATATGGTGGGTGGGGGAGAACTTCCCAACTCAACTCCATAATCTTGTGTTGCATCAAATGTTCCACATGTAGATGTGCATTGTTGTGGAGAAGAACACCACCTTTCCGATTGACGAGTAAATGGCATTTCTGATGAAGGGCTTGATTTAAACGTTCCAGTTGCTGATTATAGATCTCTGCATTGACAGTTTGTTGTGGATTGAGGAGTTGGAAATGAATTACTCCTTTGATGTTCCGTCAAATGCAAAGCATCACTTTCTGCGGATAGAGTCCAGGTTTTGTGGTCGGAAGTGGTTTTTATCTAGGAATGAGCCATTGTTTTTGGAGTTTAATATTCAGATAGAGAATCCATTTTTCATTATCATTGACAATTCTGTCGAAAAATGGTTCACGCACATTACACATCAGAAAAGACGAAGCAGCATTCACACGTTGGAAACAATGATCATCAGAGAGTTAATGAGGCACCCAAACACTTTCTTTATGGAGTTTTCCCATATTCCTAAGATGTTTAAATTTTTTTTCATGAGAGGCATGCAATTTCAGGGCCACTTCACAATTGTATTGCCTTGTGTTAGACTCAACAAGCATCTTCAAAGCATCAATATCAATTTCAACATGTCGGCTCCTGCCATCACAGTTTTAAGGCTAAAGTAACCTGAACGAAATTTGCTGAACCATCGCTGACTTCTAAAAACGTTCAAAATATTTCCATAAACATCTATGATATTCTCTGTGGCACTGTTTCCTTTCTTATATTCAAACAGTATTACATGCCAATTGTGTGTCTAGTCATGTGCTATCACTATAAGGGATTAGAGTATACTAAACTCTATACATTATACAGGCTACACGAATGTGACATTTAGGCAGTTCATTTAACTATTATATGTGATGTACGTTTCTTTGGGGGTGGTAAATGAGTGTTCCAAAAAGCAACATTAATTTCTTGACAACCTAATACAAAGTGTACTTAAACTTTAGGCCTAATTATCGATTTTTAGGGGCCTGTATTGAGATAGTTGGAAATGTATAATAATTATAGAATAGTGAATCTTTAAAATTATTGTATTAAGAGGTGTAAACATCAACTGTCATATGTTGTTTTTTTTGTAAATTTGTGTGTATATATGTCTAAATTGTATTTGTATGTTCTCTGAAACCTGTAATTGTTTTCTTTCATGCAATATGTTTACATCAAAGATGAATAAAGTTGTGGAAATGATTATTAAGGCTAACTGGCATAGATTATTTAGTAGGTAAAGTCATGCTTGATGTACAAAGCACATTTAAATGTTAGGCCTAAGTGTCAATTTTTAGGTAACTAATATGAATGATTGGCACTTGTGTATTATTTAAAATTTGATAAATAATTAAAATCATTGTTTTATATTTACATAATTTTAAAAATGTTATTGAAGCTGTCAATAACTTTCACGATTGTGTAAATATAAAACATTGATTTTAACTATTTATTAAATTTTAGGCAACTGTTGGAAATTGTATTGAGATTTAACGTATTGCATTATTTACAAGTCACAGAAAAGTAAAGAATTAACTTAATGTGTTTCGTTGCATGTTTATGTTACCAAAGTAAATGTCTTTAACTTAATGTTATAAACACTGTAGTTTTGCACTTGTATAGAACAATGCAAGTACAACATCATTTACTTTTGTGTCTGTATAAATGTAAAACTACCACTGTACAATTACCCAACAGAAATATAAGATTTCCATGTGAGCTAGCATGCAGACTGATTGACACACACACTGTTCTTTTAATTACACAGATATTAAATATTATCATTCTTAGTAATCTTGAAATTAATTGCAACAACTTACAAAACTTCCAATGCTAAAATATTTTACACATAACTGACTTGAATTCTATAATTTAAGTAGGTGGAAATTTTAAAAATATTCTTGATTGAATTATGAATCCCTACAAATGAATCCACTGTCACTATCTAACAATCACAACTGCACCTCACAAATGTCAATAATTTAAGATGACACCATTTTTGGGCTGCATGTAGTAGATACTTTGAAATTCCAACACTATAATGTTTTTTTATTTTCAGTTGTGAATTTTTCTGAATAATTCTATTTGTTATTAATGAGTCAATTTTATGGTAAACATTGGTTGTATCACCTTATTACCACTTAATGTTTGTATAATAAGTTACTTGCCAATTATCACAGGTTTCATTTAATATGCCTTATTGAACATATTGAAATTGCTCTAAGTTTCCACTAAATAAGTTATACAAGATCTCAAGCTTCTGTGGTAGTAGAATAAATCTGTTACAAATAACTTAAATAAGGGTTTCTGATTGTGTTTTCAGTCCATCTTATCACAAGTACCATACTGTATTTGCTCTTTTTTCTTTTAACCAGAATTATTGTCTTAATATTGAAAAATAACTATCATCTTTAAAAACAATGCTCTTGTAATATTTTTTTAAACATATCTGATATATTTTCTAATAAGCTCAAAACAAAGTAAATACACTACAGTCATGTACCCAGACCAAAGAAATATCAGTTAAAAATAAAAAAAAACAGTTTCCAAAAATCTTTAAATGTAATATTAAAGTAAAAATACCAAGGCAGGCTGACATTATTTTTATACAAAATTTAAAAATTATTTGTTTATAGACAATCAACAATAATTCAATGGTAGTAACTTACTTGGCTGTAGTGAGTAAAACAAAAAGGCTGACAAAACTTCCTTGTAATGTTGAAAAATACTGTAAAGTAACAATATAACAAGTTATTTCTTGACCAGAATGTAGTTACAAAATTTGGTTAGTAAAACAAAGAGGCTGACAAACAAATTATTCTAATAATGAGAAATATTGCAAAGTAACACCACATCAAGCTATTTCTATGCTAGAATATAGATACACCATTTGGCAAATAAAATAAAAAGGCTCACCAAAGTTCTTTGTAATAATAAGAAATGCTGCAAAATAATAGTTCAAACCAGTTAAAGAAATTTTAAAAATGGAAATGAACTGCATGTTGTGAAGAAAGAAAAATGTCTTGCTCAGTTTAAAGTTTCACAAAAACAACTGGGGTATTATGTAAACTGTTTTGTTCATAATCAAATCTTTACTACTCACTATTGTGCTGTATCTAAGTCATGTAACTTTTAATGAAACACAAAGAATAAGCAATCTCTAATTAAAGTACTGCTCAATTTCAGTTTTTAACAAAACTGTGTCAGGTAATGTTTTTGTGTGACCAGTCAATCATGCATAACACCTCCAATAATTATGTTTTATTGATAAGTACCAATCACTGTTTATAACTATTATAATGTAATATATGAAAAAATATAAACAAATTAAATGACTAATCTTAGTAATGTTCATAAGTGTATCCTTATATCTATTCCATTTTTTTAGTATTTCAGTTTTTGATTTAATCTGTAAACTTGAACATTATCAGAAATACAATATATCATTCAAAATTTCTCAATTTTCCTGTTTTTTTGCCGAAATTTACTTCTGCTTAAAACAGATGTTTCAGTAACAGATTTCTTATGATTCTATAAATTATAGTTATAACATTAATTTTTTTGCATGCTTAGAAATAAAATTCCTACCAATGTAGTTTATAGTAAGGCTGTAGTTGTTGTTTTCTTACGTAAGCTCATGCAGGACATTAATTAATTATCGTATTTTATATTTACCGATAAATTTATTAAGCATGTAAATTAGAAATAAAAACACTTACTGGATCCTTTGGATTTGAAGTAAATAAATAAAATCCTAGATATAAAAGAAAAATATTTAAGTTCAATTTGTTTTAATATCGTTTTTAAGTCAAGAGTAAATTAATATCTAAACAAAATAAATGGGATGATTTGCTATGGATCATTAGACTTGACTCAAAATTTTTATGGATTTTAAAGAAATCTTTCTGAACATGAATACCCACTGAGAGGTGCAATTCTACCACACCTTTGAGAATACAATACAATTGTTTACTCTAAATTGTTCTACATTTTAGTGCTTTAACAGAACAACTTAAATGGATTTTTCTCAAACTAAAGTTGCTAAGATTAAAGGGAAAATTTTGTTAGCAGTTCTATTTTAGAGGTTTTCATCAACTTCTAGAAAGCTTGTACCAGTATCATGAAGTAGAAAGTTATTTGATTGGTACACTCACTGCATATAGTTTTGACTCTTGAAAGCCAAATTTATGTTAAACAAACATTCTCATAGTAAACCTAGTGTTAAGGATAGTTCACATTGGCAGCTGCCTACAACACCAAATTTTTGAAGGAATGTAAAGTGGTTTCTTACTGAAGTGCATAACACAACAATTTTGTTAAAAAAACAAGATTTTGCTGTCATGTGTCAGTTTTTTTTATAGTTTGTTTGTTTGAATTTTGCGCAAAGCTACATGAGGGCTATCTGCGCTAGCCATCCCTAATTTAGCAGTGTAAGACTAGAGGGAAGGCAGCTAGTCATCACCATCCACTGCCAACTCTTGGGCTACTCTTTTACCAATGAATAGTGGGATTGACTGTCACATTATAACGCCCCCACGGCAGATTGCGAGTCGAGCGTCCTAACCACCTGGCCATGCCGGCCGTTTTTTTATAGAAATTTAAATAAAAACAGTTATATATAGTTTCTGGTACTCTTGTAACGAAAACTTAAGCATAGTTGAATGAAATCAATACATTAGGAAATCAAGGACAATTTTCAGTTTTTTGTTTTGAAGCATATGATCACAGTATTGCACTATACCACATTATCTTTATTGTAAATTATTCTAGTATTTTATTTACAAGTTGAACATTTTATAATACACTTACTCCATCTTAAGTCTAAAAACAAGATAAATTGATACATATATGTACAAATTAAATAAAATTTGAATGGTATTTAAAAGCATGAAGCTTAGAAACCATTGAGAAGGAATGAGTGGTAAAAATAAACACATGTACACAATGAAGGAAATTATGATTGCAATCAAAACATTAATATTAGTGTGAAATTATTAGTAGACATGTTTATATATATATATACTTATACACATAAAATATTAATATATTAGTCACAGCCACAGATGTAAGATGAAACCCCGATGCAGAAGAAAGCATGATATAATGAAGATAGTTGGAGAGGAATGTATTGGGAGTGGTCCACATACCAGACTGTAGAATCTCCTCTATCAGACGACGAAGATAAGAAGCGAGAGAAAAATGTGAGATGTCAGATCTGATGAGAGGAAACCTGGGACAAGGTACAGGAGGAAGAAGGTAGGAAAGAGTAAGCCAAACAAACCAAGGTAGAAGGTGAAAGATCATGAAGGGAGGAGGATTGTCAGGGAATGAAAAGATGGTTTCTCATACCCCGAAAGGTACATGCTACATAACAACAAAAGGTCCTGATTGGACCAAGAAGCCTATCTGGATCCGGATGAAGGTAAAGATGGAATATAGATGGAAGGAAAATAGGAGAAAAGGAAGAACAACCCTCCCAAGATCTTAAGGAGAAAGGAACGATTGGGATAAAGGAGAAGATAGGTAGAATGATAAAGGGTACGTGGCAAACAAATCCAACCATTGAAGTCCACAGGCTAAGAAAAGAAGGAAATATGTTTTAAGGGTCAGATGAAACAAGGAATATGAAAAAAGTTGTTCAAATGGAGGTAAAGTAAGGTCATGGAGGACTATATTAATGTCTCAATTTGGAAGGGTAGGATGCCTGGAATTCCAGAAGGAACGGATGATTATGGTAAGAACAGGGGGAGTAAAAACCTGAGGGTATCGGGAAAACAGATGGTATGGGATAAGGCCACCCAATATCTAGACAGCGAGGACACCAAAGACCCACGGTTGAAGAGACAGGTGAGAAATTCCACCACATAAGCCACAGAAGGCTTGTCAGTAGGAAAACCCCTGTTAGCAGACCAACAGGGGAAGACTTTCCACTTGTGTTGGTATACTTCCATGGAAGAAGGCCATATGGAACTAGCTAACAAAGAAGTGACTTGACGAGTGAAACCGGTTCATCTCGCTAACAACCTGACAAAAGCCAGTCACAAAGATGCAGCATGTGGAGATTGGGATATAGAATGTGTGATTGAGTTGACGAAGAAGGGAGGAAGAAAGTGGAAGAGGGAAAGGTGATGGTAGGAGCAGTCGTTGCAACCTTGAAAACCAAGGTTGAGCTGGCCAGTAAGGAGCAATCAGGAGGACCTGACAAGGAGTGGAGTGGATGAGAGAAATCACCCGATGAAGTAATCGGATGGGTGGGTACACATAAAGATACTTGTGTGATCAATCCTGGCTGAAGGCATTGACTGTCAGAGCCTGCAGATGATGTACAGGCAACCAAAAGAGAGGTAACTTGTTGTTGAGGTCCATAGCAAAGACATCCACATGGGAAGAACCTCACCGATGGCAAAGATCCCTGAAAACAAGGGGAGCTAATGCCTACTCCATTGGATATATCTGGTTGGAGTGTGAAAGATAATCTGTGATGAGAATAAAAGCACCCACCACATAACATGCTATAAGGCAAATGTGATGTGCATGTGCCCAGTATAATAGATCCAATGTTCAAAAACATAGATCTCTGGACTGGGTGCCTCCTTGGTGGTTGAATTGTAGAATTGTCCAAATGAACCATTACCAGACAATTACAGCAAGAAGAAAGAAGTGATGCAATGCCTGACGTACTGCTAGAAGTCGAGAACATTGATATGCAAGATGGATTCGTCCGCAGGCCAACAGCCCAAAGCTTCCTGATAATTGACCAATCGCCCCCCCCCCATTCCTGAAGGGATGCATCCGAGAAAAGATGTAGATACAGATGTGGGGAAGGAAATGGCATGCCCACCAACATATGGGCTTTGTCCAACTACCATTGCAGATTGTCTTGCAAGGAAGTAGAAAGGGAAATGGTGGTGGAAAGAGGATTCCAAGCAAGGTTCCATCATTCAAAAAGCACCCACTGAACCGATCTCATATAGGTACGACTGTGAGGGACCAATGTAGTCATGGAGGACCACATCCTCAAAAGCGATAGAACCTTGTGAGCAGCAAGTGACTAATCCAATACGGCATGGTGAATCAAAAGCTCCATTGAACAAAGATGTAAAGAAAAAGGCAGAGTGCGACTGATATTAGTGTCGAAAAAGATCACAAAATGAACCATATATTGATTGGGTCAAAGGAATGACTTCTCCAATTTGATCAACCAACCCACCTGAGCCACCACAGAAAGGAGTTGGTGAGTATAAGTGGCTGATTCCTACTTGGAATGAGCCAGGAGCCAGTAATCCATGTAATAATGAAATTGCATCACCAGAGCATGAAGATGATGAGCAAATGCCCGTACTATACAACAAAACACATAAGGAACCGATGCAAGTCTGAAGAGAAGGGCCCAAAATTGGTAAACCACCTAGAGATGGACAAACCAAAGATAAGGTCGAGACTGCTGAACTATTGGAATGTAGAGATAAGCATTGGAGACATCTACTTTCATCATCCATAATCCTGGGGAAAATGGCCATCTTAAAATGAGAAACGATTCCATGGTGAACTTGGGGAGAGCAACGAAGTGGATGAGACATGATAAATTGATAATCAGCCACCAATCCTTGGTTTTCTTGGGGACCGTGAAAAGATGGGAATAAAAACCCCTGGAAGTTTGGTGGACTGGCTCAATAGCCCACTGTAAAATCAAATCTCGAACCGCCTCAAACAGATGCTGGCATGCCACAGGATCTGGAAGAATAGGATAGGAAACAGGGCAGGAAAAACAGAAGCAGGAGAAAAACTGGATAACAAAACCTTCTGACAGAATTTGTATCTCCCATTGATCGTCAACAAAGGGATGTCAACAAGGAAGAAACTCTAACAGTTGAGTAGCCCTGGTACAGGTGGTGATGGATGTTATGTTGTCGAGGAAACTGACAAAAAAGTACCCCAATTAGAAGGAACAGGTAAGGGTTGGGAGGATGAAGGAAGGGAAACTGGAATAGATGGCATATGAAGCTTTGACTGAGACAAACGAGTGACACAGGTCGAAAGGGTGGATTGCAGACAGGCTAATGTAACCCGAGGCTCGAGGAATTCTGTGACTGTACCAAAGACATAACATCTTAGAAAAGGAACAAGACATAAATTCCATAGATATGTTGAGGGTAAATTGACCCGAGCCAATATAGCATCTTTCTATCAATAAGGTCCCAACAACAAAGAAACCATGTATGTAATACCAGAGCCAAGAACAAAATGCGGGCTAATGTGGAGGAGAGAAGGTGCAGGGTGTCCGCATAAAATTCCTGAGGATTTCTGTGAAGAGTTGTATGTAAGAAAGATACTGTAGAAGGCTGGTTAGGGTAAGATGTTTGAAGATTTATTGTCAAGTGAATTTGGATCACATTTTTTAGAAATGTCACCCCAAAAACTAATTGCTTTGGTTTTGGTGATGATAATTTGAGGTAAATGCCATGAATGTTACTGCAATATTTAAGGAAAGTATAACAAGTTGCTAAGTATAGGGAAGAGAATATAAATAGCCTTTAAAATGATGAGTATAAACTTTCAAAAGTCATTCACTGTGTACATGATCTGCAATCATAGACATATCAGTTAGACAAGCTTAATTTTTATTCATTGGAAGAGTTAGAATATTCATATTTCCGATATGGTACTTACTTCCTTTCACAAGATAAGCTATTCTCTTTCAGTGCTGCCCTATGTATGCTAACTTTTCTTTATGCATGCCATAAGCCTTGCACTCCCTCCTTGTTGGAATTATCATATACCAACATGTCTCTCATGCATCATCTCTTAACCAATAGTAGCATGGCTACTCCTGAATTTAATGTTAGTCATATCTGTGTCCAGTATTCTTGTCTTCAAAATTATATCCACTACAAACCCAACAAGAGCAAAATTCAATGTATCTATGTAAGCTATTTACTAAGACAAATAAAAGCTTGACATTCATAAACTATAATTGTTTTTTAACAAAATCCAGCACAAACAAAAAGATAAAATTACTGGCAGGACAGAAATTGACAGAACTATCCCAAGATTTAAAGTAAGTATTGTGGTGGCAACTAGCCAAGCTTATTCAGTAGATATTTATTAAGCCTAAACTTTTTTGTATACAGAAATGATTTTTTGTAATGATTTCAACAGTGTATTTTTGAAGCGAAAATACAAGACTAGTATTCACAGGCTCTTAGCATCATTACAAATGTGGATTAAAAAAAAATGTAAATACATAATATATGATGCCTTACCTAAAACTGAGAAGATCAACATAAAGAATAGAAGCAGTCCTAACATTTCTAAAATAGGGGGAAGAGACTGTAGAATCTGTCTGGTTACTCTGAAAAGTTATTAAAAACAAAGTTCAGTACTTGAGGAACCAACATACTGCTTGTTACTACAGCAAATGTATTTTGATAACCTTGTAACAATTGCTTTAGACTGTATATCAGTTAAAAACAATAAGCATCTGCCAAGTCCATTTTGGTAGCAATCAATAAATGTTTTACATTATATATCAGTTATAAACAATAAGCATCTGACAAGTCCATTTTGGTAGCAATCAATGACTGCTTTAAACTGTATATCAGTTACAAACAATAAATATGTGGCAAGTACACTTTTGTAGCAGTTAATGAATCCTTTACACTGTGTATGAGTTACAAACAATAAACATGTGGTAAGTACATTCTGTAAAAATCAACAAATGCTTTAGACCATAAACTAATAGCACGCAATGAACAAAGAAACATAAATCAAATGTAGAAAAAGTATATAATCCATGTTAATATTTAAATATTAATCTACAAATGTCGTAATACAGAAATTATGCTGGATTAATTTTTGACATTCATTACTTACCTTCGAATCCCTCCACAGTGATAATTGTCAATTAAATACACAGGGCGAAGTGCACGACTAATACGAAAGTGATTTGTCTGTCGAGCAATAACTACCACACTTTCTATGACCATCAGTACTAGAGCAACAAGCTGAAAAATTTCATAAAAATTTTTCTATACAAGCTAACCAAATAATGCTGTTATAGTTAAGGTCTTTACAAAAACATGCTCTTATCAACACTACACAAAAGTTGTTTTATTTAGCCTAGAGACACAAAACAGACATAATATTTTAAACATATTTTGTAAAACAAAGAGCCATTTAAGATATATGAAAAAATATTAATAATTCAATAATTGTTAAAAACTTAACAGATTGAACTCTCTCTCACTATAGGCTTTGTCCAATTGGCTGAGTTCATGACCCCAAATTGGCCTTTATAGTTTCCATACTATAACTTATAACACGTGTTGTGTATCTTAATAAAATTTTGCAATTTTTTGCAAACATTAAGCCATTTGTAGGCAAAAAAATCATAATTTTTAATGAAGTATTTTCACTAAAAATTTCTCCATGAATATATAGAGTCAAAGTGTTGATGTTCACTGCTACAAGTGCAAAGTTATTTTCATGTTAAGATTAAAAATACTTTTCTCCATCTGAAAAATCTCAAATTTCATGTGCATAATCTCTAAAACCCCCAAATAAATTTCAAATGTTTTCTTTTTTAATAACACTTTATAATTTATCTGTTATTTTCTCTACCCAAACTATATAAGGTTGATCAATTTTACTGACCTTGTAATCACCACCACCAAAAAATCAAAATTGCCCTTTTCTTTCTAGAAGGATTTCAAATTGTAACATTAACCCATTAACTGCTGCAGGAGCAGCTCAGTTGCCGTTTTCTGACTCACAGATAAAACTGAGTTGCCATCAATCACAATAAAATGGTAATTACCGTTATTCGCATAGAGTTATAGTTATATATGTGTGCGACTGACGGACATTTCTGTCAATCGCAGCTGAGCTATAGAACTTCAATGATGGAAATATCCATCACCCGCAGTTAATGGGTTAAACTACATTGGTTTATCCTAAATAGTTTTAAAATCGTAGCACTATACATTTGTTTTTCTTATTGTATTGCTCTTTGAACCATTTCTAACTAATAATCCCATCACTAAGTTGTAAATCACTTGGAGAATGTGCAGCTCTCATTACCATATTGAATTACATAACACACGAAACACTCAAGATCAAACCTGATGAAGAATTTTTATTATTATTAGTTTTTCGTTATCTTATCTAATCTAATAGATTTCTCATTTTTATATTTTAGTTACTTATATAATAATAAGTAAAAAATACACATGAAAAACAAGAAACATAGTACTTACCTGGTCTCCTTTTCTTAATGCAGACTGTCAATGAAACTTAAGCCTATTTTTTAAATTAATGGTACTATTACACTAAATAAGTTTTATTTAATTAAATGCTCCTAAGAACACAGAATAATAAAATGCACAAAGCAAATAACCTAGTTTATTTGACTTTCTAACTATGCAATAAAAGCCAATAAATATTCAGTTAAGCTTGTTGATTTGTTTTCCATGGGAACAAAGTGTGAACTGTAAGAGAAAGTTAACAGTTTCCTAAATTGAAAATGTATTTCCAATAATACTTACCTTATGGAGAGGACATGGAACAATCGTGCTCAACCAAGGATCCAAGATGGGACCACTCATTATTCAGAATTATGAGGAGAAAGTGGACCCTCTTCCACAAACATTGTACTGAATCTGTATTAGTCAAACAGAATAGTCACGCACACCCCAACCTGATAGTGGAGTATCAAATCTGAAATGGTATTACAAGTAGGCTCCCATCTAGCCCTTGGCTATAATTGTCATGTGATACTCTCCACCTACGTCAATGCACCCTCTATCCCGGTACTGTATATAAGCACCTCATTGGGACAATTTTATCACTTTTTTGAGACCAATACCATCGTAGTCTCTAACACTGGCTCTTAGTAGTGCAAAGAGTGTAAGCAGAGGCAAGTATTATTGGAAATACATGTTCAATTTAGGAAAATAGTTAACGTTCAAAATATACATACCTCCACTGCCACTTATAGCTAGAATCCCACATTGAAAATGTGGAGAGGCTGGTGAGGGCATTATCCATACAGAAAGCATCTGCATAGATCATGGGTGTACTAAAATAAGAGTGGTACCCAAGTGGGAGAACCACACTACATCCAGAACAGGTATGTTCTTCACCCTGAACTTAGTTCCTGTATCAAGGACGAAATTGTACATGAGTATAGGCCAGCCCCAACCAGATAACTGAGGTTCCACTACTCAGGGTTGTAATTAAAGACTCTTGGTCCCTATATCTCACGTTGGTGGAACACCTGATTTCTACAGAGCCTGTTGCAACCAGTAATAATTATAGTGAAATAGTGGTTGCTAGTGTGGAATTGGATTGATAAAACCACACTTGTCTGGGCAACACTCACCACCGATTGGGATCCTGTGAAAACAAGGTATGGGACTCTGAAAGGTAGAAATACATATACTCACTCCTCTGGATAATCTAGCAGAAATAGTAAAGATAGCTACAGAGGGTAGGCAAAATTCCACAGATGAAGAGATTGCCAGATAAGGCAAATAATGTGAGATAAAGGTGTTGGGGGAGGTCCAAATACCATTCTGTACAATGATCTCCAGTGGGGAATTCGACCAGGCTGCTAAAGTCATAGAAAGACAAATCTGATTAGATGTGACTTACAGAAGATACCTCACCTTCATAGACAGCCCAGAATCAAGTGTTGTCTAGTATCACTAAAGGTACAAGTGCAGGCAACAAAACCTTCAAGACCCTCACTGAACATGACCAAGATTGAAATCTGATTGGACATAGAGAAAGAATGAGAAAGATGAATCGGTGAAAAGGATTGAACCCCTTTCCCATCTGACAGAATGTTGGGTAAGAAAAACTGATCTGAGGATATTCAACATACCATGTGGCACACAATATCAATATTTAGGAATTATTTTTTAATATTTACTTTTAAATTAACATATTAACTAATGTATAAAACTAAAATTTGATACCAAACTTATTGACATACACTCATAAGATAGTAATTCAATAAAATTTTGAATGCAAGTCTACAAACGTGATGACATGCCCTTTGACCCCTTACCATAGGAAGACCCGTAGTGAGAGGGTTAAGAGTAATGAATGTTGATGAAACATTGTCCACTATGTGTAAATGCTAAGAAGTAATGAACTATAATAAAATAGTATTGTCTATGTGTGACTTGTCAAGTAGTAATGGACAAGAACTAAACATTATCATCCTTAGGTACATATTATGCAGTAAAAAACTATGACAAAACATTAATCATTAAGTGGACATGATAAGGAATAATGAATTAAATCTGTATATTATGTTCTATGAGTTACACATTAATGAAGAATAAACTATATCTAAGAATAACTTCTATGTATTACCTAGTAAGGCAGGAAGGATGAGACATAAAACAGAGAAACCCAAAGTAAATGTCAGATGTGGCATTAATGAGGAGATGAAAGGAAACATCAGGTAGAAGGCATATGTAAGGCAGAAAAAGTTGAAAGATATTCAGTAGGTAGAGAAGTACTGGGTTAAAAAGACGCTTCATTTCCTCTCCCTCTACTTCAGCTTCAAAATATGTCAAGGGAAATACATGGCAGGGATAAAAGAAGAGGGTCAAGACGGCAACATGGACTTCACCACACTTTGGACAATGTTACATTACTCTTCTTCTTACTGTGTTTTTCAACCTGAGTAGAACCTTTTACAATACATGATGGCTGTCACAATATCAATGAGCAAAGAACTTTCTACACTGTTGCGAATGATATTTGTATTTGTATTCAAAAAACGTTGAGTGTGTGAAACTGTTTCCAGTCTCATTGGGCTTTTTATCCTGTACAGTAAATTATTCAGTATTTTATTGTATTTTTATGATTATTGTGTATAATAAATCACTGTTTTTTAAAAATAATTTTGATTGTTGCACTTGTTTACAAAAGCTAGACTTATAGTGTGTTTAACTTTTGAATATGTTATCGGAATGTTAAAATAACCAATAAAATATCACTACCATCCCAACTTTTTCTCTGAATTATTGCAAGTCTCATGAATAACCTTGAGTAATATTAGATGATAAAAACCCTATAACCCAAGTGCTTTCAAAAGGTGGACCTTTCTTCTTCAGGGGCAAATTGAAAATGTTTTGTCTATGGAAAAAAATATACTAAATATTTCCTGGAAAACCAGATGACCTTCATGACATTACTCAATTCCCTTTATATATATCACTGATTCAATTACACCACCATTCCCAGTTTACCCCTAAAGAAGAAAGGTCTACCTTTTGAAAACTCTCGCATTATAGGGTTTTTATAATCTTGTATCAAGACTTCTTGAATCTATGTGTTTTTCTGACATCTGAAATCCATAAATTAGTGGAAAATTCTTATTCTGAAGAAAGTTTTTTATTATATTATAGCTTTCAAATGAAAAATAAACCACTACAAAGCTAACTGAATAAAGTCTATACTTACTTTTATGAGAGAACGTTTATGCTTAAAAAATGGATTAATTCCCATCCAACGAAGTTTCATTACGAGTTCAATGCCAACAACAAACAGGCCCAGCAATTCCAGGGAGGCGTGGATCTGGAAAACATTAAACATATAGTAAAAAAAGCTAGATACACAATCATCATTTTGGCTACATACATCATTCGTAACTAATTTTGATGCAAATCATACATACCATGGGAAGCACAAAAGCACCTATGTAAAAACACCTCTGACCTATTCACTTTTTTTACAGTTCTAGACATTAATTGTTTTGAAATAAATGTGGCAGTAAAAATAATTACCTCTAGTTATTACAGAAAATTTCCTATGTTCCACTTGTAACAATGTGAAAGATTAGGAGGCCATTGTTACATGTACTACATCTACTTCTTGAAAGAAAAAAAGCAAAGATTTCTGAGTTACTATTAAATTAACATTGTTTTTTTTTTACAAACAAGAATTTCTCAAGTAATTAAGAACTGATTCAGTTAGTCCTGGCTCAAACATTATTGATAGTAGGTACAAATTACGGACTGAATAAAACTGTTACGATATAGAACCTCGTAAATATGTCAATGCATCTTTGTAAGTTTAACCCCTTCCATGACAGGCTTTGTTTGGAAATGAGATAAAAAAAGTCAGTTTTATTTTGTTTTTTAATAGCCAATACTTATATATTAAGGAAACAAAAGATATTTTATGATCTATTATTATATTTCTGCACAAAATATACTCAATAAATAAATGTTACATATCTGAATTTATATGTGATATACATTATTTCCATGAAACTACAGTAAAGAATAGGAATGCTTTTCTCCACTGTTTATGATACATAAATCACAGTAAATAAAATAACAATCAGCACAAACAGCATTTATAATACCATCTGGTGAGCACTGATTGTAGTATATGATAGCATGCAAATACATTTGGGCAAATAATTAAAAAATATGGCAAGAAATGGTTTGCCCAAATTATGTTTGGCAAATATTTTTTTAAACATGGAGGGTGCCCTAGTTATCTCAGGCAAATTATGAAAGGTGTAAATTTCATCAGGTGTTAACCCTTTCCAGACAGGTCACGGGTAAAAGGCCATGTCATCGCGTTTGTTGACTTGCATTCAAAATTTTATTGAACTACAATTTCATGAATTTATTTCAATAAGTTTGGTATCAAACTGTAGATTATAATTGAAATTTTAGTTCTATACATTACTCAATTTCTTAGTTTAAAGGTAAGTATTAAAAAAACACAGTTAAACATCGATTTTTTTGTGTCACGTAGTATGTTGAACGCAGCAATGGTTCAAATTAGATGTTAGTGAAGTCAAAATACTAAGTCTATAGTTTCGTACAAATTAAAAACTCA